ATTAATCTAATGAAAGTCTGAAAATTTGCGTCAAAATTAATTAGCAGGTAACCAATTAGATGAATGTTGTGCAAAAGCACGTCTTGCTAAATTACATGGAATATGAGAAACTGAAAGCTCGCCTATTGGGTGCAGAAGTGCAGAATTACGGTAATTCTCACAGTGGGGGAGTGCGACAATAATAGATCGATTATGCGTTGAACAAATTTGAGTGAGAATATTCGTAGAGTCAGGGTGGGAGAGGAAAGGTGGGGTAGGTTAGACGGGGGTCACTTCCGAAGGGATACTAAGGACAGGTTGGCAGCAGGGCCCGTTGCACTTACATACCATTAGGGATCCTAGCGAGGGAATCGTATTTGGTAGCTGGAAGGAGGAGGGGGTTGCCTTCGAGAAAAATGTTCCCGGTTATTGACTTTCCCTAGACCCCAGCTGTGTACCCCTTTTAGGGGAGGGGCGGGATCCTCATAAAGTGCTCCATAAAGTGGGGGGGGGGGTGTTAGTAAAAAGCAGGAAGATGGTAAGCAGCATGGAGGGGACTGTCGTATCTCAGAAGGAACCTCGGGGGGGAGGGGATGGGAAATCATCCCATACGGTACTATGGGCCCTGATAGGCAGGTGAATCTCGCTTATTCTGCTTGCCTGGGTCCTCTTAAACGCCAATGCGCGCGGCTGCGGTTTACGGATGTGTTTGGCACAAGATTGCGAGGGGTATACAGTATCCCAAAACTGTGCGTCAAATTAAACACCGTAAAAAAAATCATAAGCACACAGTTAGATATACCGTAAGCCCTGCGTGTCCGGTTCAATGACTTAGGCTGTGGCAGCGGAGCTGCGTGGGCGCGCAGACAGGCACGGTTTCTTCGTCCACGGAACCAACACATTCAATTTCACGCACACTTAAGGATGCTCTGTACCGCCTGTTATTCTGAGCTTATGATTTTGTTTAGGCAGCGTTCAGACTTCGCGACGGCAGCGCCTCATCGATCGCGCCGAACGCGCGACCGAAGCGCTGCCGTCGCGAAGTCTGAACGCTGCCTTATCCGCCGCTTTTGACATCGCTTAATTTACAATTAATGACTTCTGTATGATTTGCGTTTCTTTCCCCTCAACCTGCTTATTAATCTTTTTCAGCATGTCCAGCCACATGGGATGGGTGGCAGTGTTTCGATACGGCCGAAGCCGGTACTGTCGTTGAAGCTCAATGTCCGCCTTACATCTATGGTGAAGCAGCGCGTCCGGACGCATCACAGAGTACGTTCATCTCATTGTTATGTTTACTTTCTGCCTGTGGAGTTCAAAATACAAGAAAACACAAAAGAAAACAGAGTTCAAAAAGGATCTATCTCTTCCTTAAGCCTTTTAACTGTTTCACCAGCTTTTGACCGCTGAACACGCCTTAAAGACACACGTACGATCACACATAGTTTGGGTGTGCGTGACTATCAGCCCCCAGCTGTCGAAGCGTAGCGGTTTCCCGTCCTAACATGCGCAGGAATGGAGATACAGGACCGTGAAACACGCTAATTCCTCCATGCTCCGCCTTTTGCGGCGCAAACTCCCGTTCATGCTAACAGCCGTCGTTTGCGCGCGGGTCGCGTGCGGCTCTCTTGGCACTTTGCCAAGTCCTGTAATTGCGCTTTGGAATACAAGTAAAACGCAATTTCCTGATGCGGATAACATTTTAGGTGCTGCAAAATAAGAACCGAAGATGATGACGAGGGCCAAAACTGAAGAGCAAAACTGTGCTTGCTTCCTTTGCCCAACTTGCCCTTGGAGGCCGCGCATTCCCACAAACATGAAAAATAAATTTTACTGGCCTCAGCGGCCCACTCCATTATGTTTAAAGTATTTCTATGACTTTGGAGCGGATTCGCGCCGGATCGCAGAAATTTACACGCGATTTTAATAAGTTTGCATTCCCTTAATTTTTTTTCTTTTATGTTATATTCATCTTCATCACCTTCTATTTCGGACTTTGCCCGCATGAAGCATGTTGAGAATAAACACCGCAAAATGCTTATTCATCATCAGGAAATTGCGCTTTTGCTTGCTAATAAACTAATGAGTGGACCTAGCGGCCGCTTTTTATTTTTCATGTTTTTGCTGCGGAATGGCCGCAGTCTTCGAGGGATGGTGCAGTAGCAGCACAGTTGAGTTCTAGCCCTCGTCATCATCGGTTCTTATTTTGCAGCACCTAAATGTTATCCGCATCAGGAAATCGCGTTTTACTTGTATTCCAAAGCGCAATTACAGGACTTGGCAAAGTGCCAAGAGAGCCGCACGCGACCCGCGCGCACGACGGCTGTTAGCATGAACGGGAGCAGCATTGGGCCGGCAGGCATGGAGGATCGTTAGCGTGTTTTCACGGTCCTGTATCTCCATTCCTGCGCATGTTAGGACGGGGAAACCGCTACGCTTCGACAGCTGGGGGCTGTTAGTCACGCACACCCAAACTATGTGTGATCGTACCATGTGTCTTTAAGTAAGACCCTGCCTGTTTCAAGCGAAGACTTTTGCGGTTGCCTTCGGATCGATCTGATAAAAAAGCAGCGCGTAGAGCATGAAGCGAGTGCGGACGAAAAACGTCAACACGGGTAGGAATATTAGGAGTTAGTGAGCTCGTGCAGCAGGAACGAAAAAATCACCCTACTTTCTCATATGGATTTCTGACATGACGCTGATGAATGGTTGTTCATTTTGGTCACATCACCTTTCGTTGTCCAACAGCTTTGATTCCTATAAGTGATCGCGAATTGTGCCCTCAAGTCTTACAAAGGGGAATGCGCTAAGGAGGAAGACTTCGAAGTAACCAAAAGGGCGTGCCTTTAGACAACCGTAAAAAAAGACACAATGACCAAGGCAATTACCGGTTTCAGTTTACCGTCTCCATGGGCCTGGGAGGAAGCTGAAGCAATTTTACCTCAGAGCGCATTTGGTGATGGTTGCCGCTATACCACCTCTGTCCACCCAAATGTAACCACTTGAAAGCTCTCTCACATCTATAACCAAGTGTTGAGTTATAAATTGTGGCAAGACCAGAAATAAGCCTCGGCCGCGGATGAACGTACGGTCGTAAGCTCGGCTCCTTATAGCCGACTGAGGAGGAAAAGAAGGGGAGGTTTGACCAGAAGTGTCACCGGCCGCTATTTTTAGTGGGGAAATGGCGAAGAACGGAGAGAAACTGTCAAAAGAGTGCGAGGTGCGGAAGAGCTCCTTCTAATGTGTCGCGACGGAAATCAATTTTGGACGAGTTTCCTGTAGGCATCTTGCCAATAACCGCTACCGAAGGTACGGCTGCATATGTGTACTCATATATCCATGCAGCATCACGGCCGCTTCATACCAATCCCTTCGCTTCATAATTTGCTTAGCAAATGAATCGATTAGAGCGTCAGGAACGGTCGTCCATTTGTGGGCGGCCGTTTGAGTCGGTATGTTGTGGCTATAGAGCGGCCTTTTGAGGGCACCTCCCTGGGAAAGGCACTTTTGCCCGCGCCGCCTCAGGGTTGCGGAATTCCGTCCTGCCGGGCGTATTAATCCTACTCGTCTTGGGGGACTTATCGTGCCAACTGCCTTTAAGTCAATGGGGCCGCTAACCTCTGCAAGACCACGAGATCAAATGCTGCATTTGCCGCCTGCTCCAGTTGTTGTTCCATTTTTTGAGACCAGTTAGTTGATACGACATTCACCAGAATGAAAACCTTGGCTTCCATTCCCTTCCCGCTATCACTGTACAATGCCATTTGCCAAATCCCGCTACGATTCTGAATAAGCCTCAAATGCGCGGCGCATTCTAAGAATAAAAGTGGCGTTGAGCGCTCCATCTTTTCATCAATTATCGAGACTTGACGGATTTGTTTGTCGAAGCTCGCATGTTCACGGGCATGGTCGAGTTCTGAGGCAAACAAAGTGTCAAATGCAGATGGCAGTCTGTTACGCCACCTGACCTTTTTTCAGAACAAGGTAATATGATACCTCCTCTACACGATGTTTCCAGTATCACAAGACAGACGAAGCAGGTTTTGGGCTAGGTTTAAGTAGACGTGAGCGTTAGGACGTGTTTACTAGAGGGACCATCCTGACAGATGATTGATGACGGGGACTTCAAATGGGGCTAGAGCTCGGCATTACCATATACACACCATGGCGCAGTTAGGCTCGGTGGGTGCACCGCATGGTATTCAGCTGAGCTGATACAGGCCACCTTGTGAAGGCCTGTAAACTCCGCTGAGCAAGTTGCTCAACCGTACCATTTCGCAGGTTTACAGGATTTCACAGGATAACAGGTTTCAGTTTGGTGAAACCTGTTATCTATCATGAGCTAAGAAAATGAACTAGCGAATGTGCAAAATACCCCCCCCCCCTTCAAGCCGAACAGCGCCCGTACTACTTACGAAATCTCCTAAAAAGATTCCAATAGAGTTGCTATTGACTGCAGAGCTGATGAGCTGTTTGGCTACAGGAAGAGGCCAAGTCATACGCTAACCTATTCTCATCTCCTTAAAAGCACAGTCCACGATAACAGAGGTACTAGGATACAAGCATGGAATCGTATATGCTTAGTGAAAGAAAGGGAAAGGACGTCGAACATAGATAAAGATCTCACCTTTGTTGTCTGTGAGCAGTACGCGAGCATGCAGAGAAGAGACAATGAGTGCGTGCACGAGAGACCAGACCACGAGGACGGCAAGACTTCCTCTTTCTGCCTCATGGTGGGGGGTTTTCCGATCCGAGTGAGGCGAGACAGCCACGCGCGCAAAACCGATTCACGATCATCGCCGGGCATTTCTAAATCGCGAAAGCCGATGACAACTTTTGCAGTTGCGAACCCAGCTAACTTATGAGAGCGAGGGGAAAGAGCGAGAAACTTCGCCCAATCATGTGCTGTGCCTTCAAAGGCACGATGATTTGGTGCTCGGACTAAAATATAGTAGGCGCGCTATATAGTTGAGTAATGTGCCGGAAACGAGATGGAGTGAAACGGGCAAAATCCTGCCGATGAAAGAGGCCTCCGTTCTCAACTTGTGGCCAGAAATCTGTTGGACGAGTTTCCGTCCGTAGGCATCGTTGCCAATAACGCTCGCGAAGGTAACGGCTGCATATGTGATCATATATCATGCCACAGCATCACCGACCGCTCTCATCACACTCCCTTCAAATCTCATAAATTTGCCTAGCAAATGAACTCACTAGAGCTCAAGGAACAGTCGTCCATTTGTTGGGCGTCGGCAGACGTTTGGGTCGCGTACTGTTGTGGCTTGGATAGCCGGCCATTATAAGCGTCACCTCTCCTTAGAAAAAGCGATATGCAGCGCCGTTGCTGCGAGGTCGCGCCAATTCCGTACCTGCCATGCGTATTAATCCTACTCGCTCTGGAGGGATTTTATCGTGCAATGCCTAGGTCTAGTTATCGTGCCCTCTTAAGGTTGTAGTACGTCTCTTAAATAAAGGGAGCTTGACGTGGAGTCAGAGTATTCCTCTGAGTGAGACATCAAGGAGATGAGCACGGGAACATGGAGCGTTGCCCATAACTATCGTGGTCCACGTTTTCAAGCCACTAATCTTACCTGGGGCGTCTGCGGAGATTTAATGCGAGGCGAATTCTCGAGAGTTGCAAACGGCGGATTTGCCAGTAATCGGAAACGTGGGATCTAACGAGGGAGAGGAGATGAAGAACTCTGTTAGGAGGAAAGCTGATACCAGTTACCACTGGTCAGGAGCAACGAATTAGTTACAATGAGAAGCTGTACAAAATTGGCCGAGTACCACTGGGTGTCCCCATGGCAAGCTGCACTCCGCGTGAAGGAAAGCGCCGGTGATTTTACTAGCGGTAGTACAGTTGATTTATGCCGAAAAGCTATTCTATCCCAAAATTCTGCCTTCTGTTACGACCACATCAAGTCATTATTGGAAGGGTTGGTTACATTAGTTATTGCTCGCTTTGTGAAATTGAACACCACCTTGTCAGTCACTTCTAATATTGTTGACATTCCCGCGACGTATAGGTGACTGAGCAAAAGTGTCTGCTTTCAGTGAAATGACACCCCTCTCATGCTCAACCATCTTCATGGCATCTATTTCCGTAAGATCGCAAAGACCACCACAGCGTGGGAGGGAGCGCTCGTCACGAAAAAACGTGAAAAAGGGAAGGAAGCCCTGGAAAAAAATGTCAGATTCCATGATCAAAGTGGTAGAGAAATGGCTCGATTAATAGGCCCAAACAACGGTTTGACCAATTGCAAAGGCATAGCGCGCACCTCGTTGGGTGAGCGTGAGGTGTTGGTTTTGAGGCCTCCGCCTGCGGGCCTGATTTTTGCCCATAAGCCAACGATTTTTGTGGCTATCTTCGCATGTCATTCCATTGCCAGCAGGCGCATCTAAAGTACGAAATCTTACGATCCGTCTTACAAACTCTTTTTTCAGTTCCTACAAGCGTTATTGCGGGCAATTGATTTAGGCGCTCCAAAGGGCCGCAGACGCGGCTGCGGCGCGTCACGACCGCGGCGATCGGCTGTCTCCAGCCTGTTTAGCCATTTTCCCCCCCTAATTTTCACTGTATTTATTCACGGTGAAATTGTTTGTTGTCTTAATGAAGTATTAGGACGAGGACTCTTTTTTATTTTTGTAATGAAGCGTTTTTGCGATTTTTTTCAGTATTTGCTTAATTGTTTGTTTATTATTTAATTATTCGCGAAAATTAGAGAAACCTCGGTTCCAATTCACCTTGTGAAGTAACCAAAGAACAACCTAACCCTAGCAGAAAAGCAGCAAAAGGAAATCGTGAAAATTAGTGAGAAAGTGGCCTAAATATGCGTGGAAACAGCTGTTAATCGGCCGCCCGACGTGATGCGACCGCAAGCCGCAGTCTTGACGACCTTTTGAGACCAAACTTAATCAACGGCCCGGTATAGACGAGACTGTACGCTCTGTAAAAATAATAATTACACTGAGCCTTGATTAAATAGAACGTGCACATCACTGATGGGTCCAAATAATACCCTAAAAACGCCCGAGCAGAAGAAATTGTTAGGGCCAGGGACCCAGCAAAGCCGCGCATCATCGAAAGCTTTCCTTAATTCTCACTGAGGATTTTCAGAGTCTCGTAAAATGTGCGGCGATACGGCCTGGGTAAGGCGACCGGGCACAACCAGCGAATGGACTGACTATTCTGGTTGTACAATGGTTCAGCAGGTATGAGCATCTCTTTTTGAGTTTATCCAGTTTAACTGGTTTTGATTTTTCATCATTTTTGAAATGAGTAGGACTGAGAACAGTTGTGGCGTCTCTAAACACGAGGAAACAGCTTCACATATCACTTATCAATCAGCTTTTGCTAGAGATTAGCTTTAAGTGAATAGCCTTCAGTGGGTTTCATGCGTATGGTATGCCTACTTACTTATTTGTGAAGGTTCTATTGGTCTTGTGGCTTGAGTCGTGCGGAGACACGCCCAATTTTCAACAAACGCGACGCCCCGCTCGGCATACCACGCTTGATTATCCTGCTAAATTAGCAGCTTTTAAGCACCATTACGTCTTCTGAGCTTGCTTCGCATACGACAGCCTCTAGTAGATGATTTGTCGGCCAATTGAAGCTAGTGGCTTTAGTTTTGCAGCAACATTGCTGCCGGAGTCGACACGTTGGACCTGACGCGCGGGCGCGTTGAGGGTGGGTTTGCAAGTTACCGCGGCGGTCGATCACACATTCCCAATTCGCAATGTGCCGGCGCTACTCAACGTGTCAATTAACGCCCGAAGCAACGCTATTTCGGACGCTTACGGGGCCTGATCGGCCACAAGCTTGACGATAAAACAAAAATGTGCCGATCTGAGTGATGCGCGGGAACAACCTGAAGAGAGGATTGCACGTAATGATAATTCACAAAGTTAAATATACAATTATCAGCACTTGTAGAGTACCCTGAATAAGACCTCACCCAGATAGCAATGTAAAGGGGCAAGGGCGTTCATATTGGAGTC